AAAAAAAAAAAAAGATAGCTAACATTTATTATCCTTACTTTATCATATGTGCAGGTATTTTATGGTTTTGTTTGTTGGTTGTTTGTTTTGGAGACAGTCTTACTGTGTCAGCTGGCTAGAATGTACCTAGTGACGTCATCATAGCTCACTGCAACCTCAAACTCCCAAACTGTCCTCCTGCCTCAGCCTCCCTCCCAGTAGCCAGGTCTACAAAAGGGTGTCACTGTGCCCAGCTAATTTCTCTTCCCTTCCCATTCGTCCCCTTCCCTTCCCTTCCCTTTTGTAGACATGGGGATCTCACTCTTGCTCAGCTGGTCTCCAACTCCTGAGCTCAAGGAATGCTCCCTCCTGGGCCTCTCAGAGTGCTCGCATTATGAGCGTGAGCCACCACACCAGGCAAACTTGATGCATTATTAACCCATTAAAACAGCACAGTGTATTAACTCCCAGCTTACAGAAAAGGGATCGGAGGCAGAGAGTGAAGTTAAATAAACTAGCCAAGGCTGGAAGGTTTGGCAGCAGGCATTTGGGGAGTAAGAAATGGGCACAATTCCTGCTCAGATCCTCACCAGGGCGAACGGGGTGCCTTGTGCTGGTGCCGCAGCACTGAAGGACAATTCTCTCCCGGATTCTCCTAGCTTTTGCTCTAGATATTCAGAACAGTGCTATTAATTTTCTTAGCTAAGAATTTCAGGCCAGGCATGGTAACTCACACCTGTAATCCTAACACTCTGGGGGGCCAAGATGGGTGGATTACTTGAGCTCAGATCAGTCTGAGCAAGAGGGGGACTTGTAACTACTAAAAATAGAAAAATTAGCTGGACTGTGTGGTGGGCACCTATAGTCCTAGTTACTCAGGAGCTGAGGCAAGAGTTTCAATTGAGCCCAAGAGACTGAGGTTGCTGTGAGCTATGATACCACAGCACCATACCCAGGAAGACAGTGAAATTCTGTTAAAAAAAAAAAGAAAGAAAGAAAGAAAGAAAGAAAGAATTCATAGCAGACCCCTTAAGCTTGCTTTTCGTGTTTTTAGGTTGATGAGAGAAGAGTTAAGATAATAATCTAAAGCACACACTTCACATATGATGGCCCTGCTGAGAAACGAGGGCTTGGGTAGGGAAGTAGGTCAAAGTTGAAAGGGAAGGAAATGTGTGCTAAATTTGGATAATGAACAGTAAAACTTAGATTTCTTTTTAAAGGTTGGCTTTGGATACAAAATTTGAAATTTTGCCTTCCTCAAAGATGGGTGATGGTAGTGAAAGGCGTTTATTACTTATTTGACAGACACACATAACATTTACTACGTGTGGCAAGCAATGTTATACCTTCACTTTACAGCCGAGGATATGAAGGCTCACAGAGATAAAGCGCCTTGCTATGGACACAGCGCTATGAAACATCTGGCTTCAGTGTTTGTTCTTAACTCATTTGTTAATTGCACTCTTTGCAATTGCCTTCGGTCTGGAAAGAGCGGCTGCAAGTTCGTGGTTGAAGACCCTGTTATCTCCATGGCCCCCGCTCCACCTGGGGATACTGGCACTGTAAGAACAAGCTGAAACCCAAGTCTCTTTCTGCTGAGGTGTCCTGATACCAAGAGTCTCATCTTTGACCTGGGGTGGAAGAAGGCAACAGCGGATGAGTTCTCACTCTGGGGCCACGCGGTGTCAGATGAATACGAACAGGTCTCCTGGGGGCTGCTGGGAAAAGATGGCGGTCATCTCTGCGTGCGGCTCCACCCCTCCACATTATCCGCATCTACGAGATGTTAATTCTGTGCTGGGAGGACAGGCTCCAGACAGGTACATGGTGCCTTTGGAAAGCCTCAGGGCATTCTGGCCATCCGCACCAAAGTACAGAACTGGAGCATGTGATTGAGGATCAAGTTCAAGTTCCCTGTCCACCAGAAGGTTCACATCTCCAAGAAGTGGGACTTTACCAAGTTTAATACAGATGAATTTGAAGACATGGTGGCTGAGAAGCAGCTCATCCCAGATGGCCATGGGGTCAAATACATCCCCAGACAAGTGGCAGCCTGCGCTCATGAGGACTTCCGCTGTGCTGCCTTTCATTTGAGCCTACCAATAAATCCTACTTCCTGACCAAAAAGTCTATAAAAATGTAACTTTGAGGTTGAACTTTTAAAGAAACTGAATTCCAGAGCTGCGCCTGTGGCTCAAAGGAGTAGGGCGCTGGCCCCATATGCCGGAGGTGATGGTTCAAACCCAGCCTCGGTGGGGAAAAAAAAAAGAAAAAGAAAAACTGAATTCCAATTTCATATTGACACCTATTTTAGGGACAAGGTATTTTGTTGTAATTCTTGTTTTTCAATTCTGAAAATAAAGAGAAAAACCCGTAAGAAAAAAATAATTTAAGGGCGGCTCCTGTGGCTCAGTGAGTAGGGTGCCGGCCCCATACACTGAGGGTGATTGGTTCAAATCCGGCCCCAGCCAAAATGCAACAAAAAAATAGCCAGGCGTTGTGGTGGGCGCCTGTGGTCCCAGCTACTCCGGAGGCTGAAGCAAGAGAATCGCCTAAGCCCAGGAGCTAGAGGTTGCTGTGAGCTGTGACGCCGTGGTCACAGGGTGACAAAATGAGACTCTGTCTTACAATAATAATAATAATTTAACTGATTTAAGATCACTGTTTCCCCAGTTTAAATGTTGCCCAGCAGCAATTTATAAAGTATTTTCCGTCAATGTCTATTTCTAGATGACGGGATATTATTTAGTTATAGCACTCCAGAATGGCATGAGTGCCATAAATTTGGGAGATTTTTAATTCCCAATGAAAAGCATGTTGATTATCTAACTAAAAGAAGACCATTAAAAAATCACTAACTAGCACATTCTATGATTCTGGGAAAATTCTTTTCCTGACTCCAAACTTAGACTGTGATAATAAGGCCCTGTCTTAGGATCTTTGTGTTAGGCCCAGACTCAGGGCTGATGGTCAAAACAATTAACAATTAGGCTTAGGGCCTTGAGGTACAAGGCCAAGTCTTTGGATCTTGGGTAGGTCTGGGAGGGTCCCCACTCTCTGAAGACTTAACCCCTCGGTTGGTTCATTATGGAGAGGTCTGAGGTTCTTGGGCAGGGGATGAGATGACCAGGCAGGAGGGATGGTACTCGGGGAGGGAGCTTGATGCTGGTCACAGAAATGTCTCAGTCCAGTTTCCCAAGGTGCCAGGCCTACTGTTGGCAATTTGTGATTCTTCATTTTATTTTCTCAACCAGTCTGGTTAAGTAGTTATTAGTATTATTAATCTCTCCAAGAACAAACCCTTACCTTTACTGATTTTCTTTACTGGTTTTAAAATTTCATTGATTTCTGTTCTTATTTTATTCCTTCCTTCTACTTTAATTTGCTTTTCTTTTTCTAGATTCCAAGGTGATTTTAAGCTTTTATTCTCTTTGAATATAAGGGTTTAAAGCTAATATTTGCCTACATTTAGTTCAAAATACTTTCCCTGTGATTTATTCTTTGACCTATGGGTTACATAGGAATGGATTGGTTGATTTCCAAATTTTGGAGATTTTCCAGATTTTATAAGATTTCTGTTATTGATTTCTAATTTAGGTCTGTTTTGAACACAATATAATTTATACAAAAACTGTTATTTAAAACTTGCTGAATTTTGGATAGGCCCGATGTATAATCTATCTTGGTGAATGTTCCATGTGAAATTCAAAAGGATGCTTGGGTGTGGTGTTTTGTAAATGTCAATTAGGTTACTCAAAATCTAGTTTATTACTGGTTTTTAAATTTGTTCAATGAGTGAGAAAGGAGTGTTAAAATTACCTGTAATTGTGGGGTTGTGCATAAATTTGGTGCTGTTGATTTTTGCTTCATTAGTTTTTGAAAGTTGGACATTAGGTACATATGTAAAATAGTTTTTTTTCCTAGATAGACATATCAATGATAAAATTTAATTTGTAATTTAGGCACAGTAAGAGATTAACAATAATAACTGATAAAGTAGAACAATTATAACGATATACTATAATAAAAGTTATGTGAATGTGGTCTCTCCCTATCGAGATACCTTACCATAAGGTACTCATCTTTGTTCTTGAGATGGTGTGAGATGATACAAGACCTACGTGATGAGATGAAGTGAGGTGAATGACTTGGCGTTGTCAGATCATCTAGACTACTGTTGACCTTCTGATGATAGGTCAAACTTATGAATAGTTTACTTGTGGAATTTTCCATTTAATA